GCATGAGGAGCGAAGTGAAGCCATAGTTCACTTGAACCTTAAACCTAGCAACATAATGTTGAGCGATGACATGGTGCCAAAAATTGCAGATTTTGGACTTTCAAGGTTGTTTGGTGAAGAACAAACCAGAATTCTCACCCAAAATGTTGTGGGATGGATGTAAGAACTTACTAGTTTCTGTATCTTTCCATTCTTCAAAGTTGCAGTAGTATTTTTTGTGTGATAGTATATAATTTGATGCTAATGTGACCCAGAGGATACATTGCCCCGGAATACCATTACAGAGGAGAAATATCAGTGAAGTCAGACATATTCAGTTTGGGTGTTCTTATTCTCGAAATAGTGACAGGACTGAAGAGGGACCTCAATATTCAAGACATTTCTTCTAAGTTACTAACTGATAGTGTAAGTAATGCTGTAATAGTATGAACAATTTAGTCTCTGTTGGTGATGTTTTTCTGCTTTACTTTACAATTTCATTATCTAATTTTTCTAATTCGCACAGGTATCTAAAAATTGGACAAAAATGTCGCATATAGAATCAAAGTATCCATCACTGGAAGAACAACACATGCTACAAGTAAAAAGATGCATTGAACTTGGTTTAAACTGCGTGGAGACGGATCCAAAGAAAAGGCCTACTGTAGGATCAATAATTGGTAAACTCGAAGGTAAATGAACTGGTTCATAACCATTCATTCATTTCAGGATTTAAGGATTTAATCTAGAGGCTTTGTCGAAACATAGTGATAATTCCACTGCTGTCGTAATCTCTACCTCTAGAGTAAAATATGCATTCTCTTGTTTAAAATGGAATATGTTCAAGCAGAAATCAGTCATGAAGCTCGCATACACAAATTCATGGAGAAGAAGCTGCAACTGATAACTGAATTCCCAAAGGGAACCAAAGCTACACTTTGTAGAGGAAATCACAGGGAACTTTGCCAATGACCGTGAAATTGGTAAAGGTTCTTTTGGGGTAGTTTATAAGGTATATTTTATTTTCCATCACCATCAATTTGAGAAAAAAATATGGGAGAAGCTATCTGAATATTCTTCTGTACTAATGATATTAATTAATCAGGGAATGCTTCAAAATGGAGAAGTTGTTGCGGTAAAAAGGCTTTTGGTAGTTCAGAAATCAATCTGGATAAGCAATTTACAAATGAAGTATTTAGTCTGATTGATCTCAATCATAGAAATATAGTGAAGCTAATCGGGTATTGTTATGAAATACATAAGAAACTGGTGGAATCCCATGGAAGATATGTTTTGCAGACACACAAGAAAGGATACTCTGCTATGAGTATTTGCCTAGGGAAGCCTTGACAAGTATCTTTACGGTATTCTACTTTATCTCATTCTCTCTCTGATTTTAGTGGAATATTGGCTTCTGTTGTATCAAACACGAATTAACAGTCATAGGCAGCTTTATTTAACAAGTTGTTCAGACACCAGGGAAAAAATATCCTTCTGCTCCTTACATTTAGATGACAACAATCAGTTAAATTTAAGCTTAAGGTGTGCCCACTAGATATTTACTGAACACATCACAAAGTATAGTGCAATTTAGTATGAGACTATAAAGGTATTTGTCCACATTACATATTAGATTTCCTTAAATATGTCCATATATCTTGGGGATGGATCCAAACTTATAGTAGTAACTTTGCATTCAAAGTGTTTTAGTTTGCTAGTAATAATGCAAAATTATGAGTTACAACTTTCTCTAGGTGTTGACTTACTGATTTGTCTATTTCTACAGGTGCATCTCATGAGCTTAACTGGAGCATCAGCTTCAAAATAATACAGGGGATTTGTCAGGGTTTACAGTTCTTACATGAATTGCAAAGACCCATAATTCACATGGATCTCAAACCTGGAAATATATTGTTGGATGATAATTTAATGCCCAAAATTGCTGATTTTGGTTTGTCAAGGCTCTTTGGTGAAGAGCAAACACGTACACTCACTTTAAATGTTGTGGGACCAAGGTAAGCTTGACGAAAATTTGTGAATAATTCTCTGTTTGTTCATGATCAACCGGATTATACTGCATGTACTGCTTCCAATGACTTTCATGTAATGCAGAGGATACATGGCTCCAGAGTATTATTACAGAGGTGAAGTCTCAGCCAAATCAGATATATATAGTCTGGGTATCCTTATAATCGAGATAGTAACAGGGTTAAAAGTCGATTCTAACACTGAAGACTTGTCATCTAAGAACCTTATCGACAATGTAAGTCTAACATATTTTGATTTTTTTATCGTTAACCTTAAGAATGTTGTTCGGACAAATAGAGGTAGTGAACCGTACTTTGAATGGTGTAACTGATGCTCTTTAATGAAACTTTGCAATTACAGGTACAAAAAACTTGGACAAAAATGCCGCAGATAGCTTCTAAGTACCCAACGGTGGAAGCGAGCAGCCTCCAACAAGTTAAAAGGTGCATTGATGTTGGGCTAAATTGTGTCAGCGAAAATCCAAAAGAAAGGCCTTCCATAGGGAAAATTATGGAGCAACTTAATGGAAATGGCTTTCCATCCAGCAGCTAGATCTTGATACTTGAACTGAAAAAAATTCCTAGGAAGCAACAGTGAAGGGGACCAGATAGAAAAGACTTCATGTCTACACTCCCTCTCTCAGTTCAGGCCTATGATCAGTTTCAGCAACTCATTTTCATTCTGGATGACACTCAACTTCTTCAAGGCAAGGATCAATGGTCTTACATCTGGGGTTCCACTGAGTTTGCATCAAACAAAGCTTATCTGCATCTGATGGGCACCAGGCAAATATCACCGGTTTATACATGGCTTTGAAATTCCTATTGCCAGCCAAAGCGGAAAGTTTTCTTTTGGCTAGTTTTAAAAGATAGACTTAGTACCCAAACTTCTGAAAAGGAAAACTATGGTGTTGGAAAATTACAACTGTGTGCTTTGTCATTTGGACACCGAAGAGTCTTTGCATCACTTGTTCCTGCATTGCCCTTTTGCTATGTCATGCTGGAATGTGTTGGGTTTGGCACATTTAATACAAGGGGACATTCTGGACACGATCTCCTTGTTCAAGACTCAAATTCAGAGGCCAATATTTATGGAGATAATAGTAGCAATGTTCTGGGCAATTTGGTCTACTAGAAATGATGTCATTTTCTTTTTTTTTGGGAACGAAATGATGTCATTTTCAGAAATCTCCAGCAATCAGTGATCTCTTGCAAAGTCACCTTTAGACAAGAATTAGCTTGAGTTAAGCTTAGAGCTAAGGAGGAGTACAAACAACCGATAGACCTATGGCTAGACAGCTTTGTGTAATTGAGATAGTAACAGGGTTAAAAGTCTGGGTATCCTTATAATTCAGATAGTAATAACAGGGTTAAAAGTCGATTCTAACACTGAAGCTTTATCGTCTAAGAACCTTATCGACAGTGTAAGTCCAACATATTTTGAATTTTTATCCTTAAGAATGTTGCTCTGACAAATAGAGGTACTGAACTGTACTTTGAATAGTGTAATTTATGCTCTTTAATGAAACTTTGCAATTACAGGTACAAAAAACCTGGACAAAAACACCACAGATAGCTTCGAAGTACCCAACGTTGGAAGCAAGCAGCCTCCAACAAGTTAAAAGTTGCATTGATGTCGGTCTAAATTTTGTCAGCGAAAATCCAAAAGAAAGGCCTTCCATAGGGCAAATTATCAAGCAGCTTTCCATCTAGCAGCTAGATGCCTAGATCTTGATGCTTGAACTGAAACAAATTCCTAGGAAGCAATAGTGGAGGGGAGCAAATAGAAAAGGCTCTGCAAGTCTCAAATATTACAGGCATCCAATGCTTTACAAATTATTACACGTAGCAACTAATCCTCTCTTGTGCGCTTTCTTTTGAAGAGTCCGCGTGGAGATAACAAATGAACAGCTTTTGCTGCTACCGCTCAGCGGTTGGAACTTGGAAGCGAAGAGTAAAAAATGCTGAACGTGTAAATAGAAGGAGCAGATGTCATCCCGGATTTGTTCTTGGTACCAAATAGGGGTCGACAGGGTAAATCAGTGTAAATTTCTTGTGACATAGTACAGGCTGAGAGACGACTTCCGTTCTGGCTAGATGTGTACCTGTTGAAAGATCAGTTGTATGCATTTAGTCATCAATCAACGGCAAAATATGTAGTACTATTAGTATATAAATGGACCTGTTTAGAAAGAGAGTCGACCAATCAAGTAAAGAACAGTTAGCTCCATTGGCTACTACGCTAATAATTTAATATAAATAGATAATGGTCCGCTCTCATCCAACACACAACCGGACGCGGTTATGACCACTGACAACATGCATGGGTTTTGGTTTTGGAATTACTCGGCAATTTCTGCAACATTACAAGAGTGGTTCTCTGTCACAGTCTCAAGTAGGTGGCACCGCGTAAGGCCATTGACGACGACTGCAGCTTGGGGTCGAGTCAAGTCAACGTCTCATGGCGCCTCTCAGACACGACGTACACGATGGATGCTTTGGTCCGGAGCTTGTCATTGCCTACTTTATCTGATTCCTCTTACTGTCCCAAACATCGACCACGTAGCAGATCCGCGCTCTCCCACTCCAGTGTCCATCCCCTCCCTCCTCCACCCACCAATCTCTGGAGCTTTACCACTACGGGCTCCGGCGGCTCGGCCTACAGGAGACCAGCAAGTGCGACGGCCCGCGCTCAGCTGACCGCAGCTTCATCCAAGGTGAGCACACCCCGTTCATCTTATCTCCTCCAAATTGGTGTGAGTTGCTTGATTTGTTTGGGTAGAAACTTTCTGCCAATTTCAGTTTTTGCCTTCGGGTTAAATACATCAGATTGCGAAGCTTAGTAAGTTTTTTTTTTCTTTCTTGTATGTACAACTTGCTATATATTTGACATGGGTTGGGCTCGGACATACAGTAAGCTAGCATGGTACACAGAAATCAACTAATTACATGTTTTGTTTTACTTTGTTAGTGAGATAGCTAATGTATGTGGCAATGGACATTTTAAGGTACGGTGCTCCATTATGTTTTGGAATCCCTGCTTCCGCTCCAACTATTAACTTTTTTTTTTATAACTTGCCTCATGTGAATTAATGTTGAGCCTTGGTGCTTCTAAAAAAGAATTAATGTGGAGCCTCTTTTGGGTCCTCCATTATGTAATAGTAAGATTACTATTAACTCAGTGGATGGAAACATATTATTTACATCCAGGTACAAGAAATATATCTTTTGATATGATAGATAGCTTGTGAAAGAATATCTTACATGCTAAGCCATGCTCTGATAATTGTGTGGAGTCCAAAATGTAACAAAATATTAAAATTTAGTTCTAAATTTTGAATTGGTATATGCATTTTTATATACATGCATGTTTTTAATGGAGACTTCAGTCAGTTTAGATGCCAAATCCTAGTTGGACTAGGTAGAAGATGTTCGATACTCTGTACATTATCTTCTGTGCTATGCATACAAAATTGTGTTTTGTGCATATACTTCTACTTTGGATTTTTGAACTTTTTAACTTCGTTGCATATGCCATGAAATAAATGGCTCAGCATTTTGCATGCATGTTGAGGACTGCCTTATATTGAATTTAGAGAGTGATGTGGCCTCTACATTAGTGGAGAGCGAGAATGGTGGATTTGGAGAATAGAAAAGATGGAGTGGATTAGAGTTTATTGGAGCCTGATTTTTTGGTTTATTTTATAAATTTTGTAATAGTGAACCATGTAGAGAGCCTCTTGGAGATGCTTTTAGGAAAGAATTACATCTGTGCTCTTTAAAATAAAGGAATAGCATCTGCACTAAAATTAATTTTTTACCCTATGCATTAATTGGAACGTGACAAAACATATTGTACTTTGTTCAAAACAAGCCATTAGTAATCAATGGGGGCTGTTATCTATTATTGAATCTATAATCTATTAAGAACGGTTGATATTGTGTGCTTTTTGTTAACATGTGCGGACAGGTCTGAAACATCTAAGTAAAATAGATTGCGTACATTATCTTGAACTAATCAAGCTCCATGCTTTGATTGTGCAGAACTGAACTAATGGCAGAAGCACTGCTAACTGCTCTCTCGAAAATTGGTACCGTTTTAGGAGATGAAGTCATCAAATTCATCATCGCTGAAGCATCTAAAAAGGCAACTAATCTGAGGGAGCTACCAGAAAATATAAGGCACATTGAGAGAGAATTGAATATGATGAGAAATGTAATACAAGATTTGGATACCACAAATCTCAGCATCAATGTGGTCAAGGGATGGATTGGGGAGCTGAGAAAGGTGGCCTTCCATGTGGAAGATGTAATGGATAAATACTCATATCACGCTTTTAAGCTGCAGGAAGAAGGATCGCTGATGTGGTTCATCAAAGGAGCACAAAATGCCAAAATTTTCAGTGATATTGCTGATGAGGTGGTTCGTATAAAGGGTGAGATTGAGCAAGTAAAACAACTGCAGAAGGACTATTTCCCTGCTCTCCAAGTTCCAGCAAGCCCTGTAATTGTTCGACATGGATCCCAAACCTTCTTGCCAGAGCTTATTCAAGATGAAGATCTCGTGGGGATTGCATTGAATCAGGCAAAGTTGATTGGATGGCTTCATAGCAATGAGCCAAACAACAAAGTGATAACGGTGTCGGGTATGGGTGGATTGGGAAAGACCACTCTGGTCATGAATGTTTATGAGCGTATGAAGAGCGAGTTCCCTGTCAATGCCCGGATCACTGTGTCACAGACCTACACAATAGTTGGTTTGCTGAGAGAACTATTCAGAGAGATTGGGAAGCACACATATAAGCCATCAGATAGCATCGAAAGTATGGATGCCTACAAGCTGAGAGAAGAAATTAAGAATGTCCTAGGTACCAGAAAATGTTTGTTTGTCTTGGATGATGTTTGGAACATGGAAGTGTACCATCAAATGATGGAAGACATTTTCAATACTCTTCGAGCAAGCTGTGTCATCATCACAACACGGAGAGAAGACGTTGCATCTCTTGCATGTTCAGGATGCCATCTTCAGCTCCAGCCTTTGGGACGTTCCCATGCACTCGACCTCTTCTGTAGAAGAGCCTTTAAAAACACGGCTGAGTGTCCCCAAGAGCTTGAGGATGTGGCTGCTTCCATAGTAGAAAGGTGTAAGGGCTTGCCATTGGCACTTATATCTATGGGCAGCCTCATGTCCTCCAAGAAACCAACTAAACATGCCTGGAATCAAATGTACAATCAGTTCCGGGTTGAGCTAGCTAAACCAGACAATGTGCAGGCAATTTTGAAGCTTAGCTACAATGATTTACCAGGGAACCTCAGAAATTGTTTCCTGTACTGCAGCCTATTTCCAGAAGATTGCATCATGTCGAGAGAGAGCCTTGTCAGGCAGTGGGTTGCTGAAGGATTTGCAGTGACCAAAGAAAACAACACACTGGAGGATGTGGCTGAACTAATTCTGGTGGAGCTCATTACTAGGAATTTGCTGCAAGTTGAAGAGTATGATGAGCTTGGTAGGGTGAACACATGTAAGATGCATGACATTGTGCGTGACCTGGCTCTTTCAATAGCTAGAGATGAAAAGTTTGGCTCTGCAAGCGATCAGGCTGCAGTGATAAATATGGACCGGGAAGTGCGCCGACTATCATTGTGTGGATGGAATGGAAGTGATGCACCAAGAGTGAAATTTCCACACCTTCGCACTGTATTTTCACTTGATGGTGTTACATCCGCTCACATGCTAGCCTCAATCTTTTCTGAGTCAAGCTACCTTACTGTTCTTGAGCTACAAGATTCTGAGATAACCGAAGTGCCACAATCTATAGGGAATCTGTTTAATCTACGTTACATTATTTTTGCGGCACAGGAGTCAAGTCGCTCCCGGAGTGTATTGAGAAGCTATCCAACCTACAGACACTGGACATCAAGCAAACAAAAATAGAGAAGCTACCAAGAGGCATAGTCAAGGTCAAGAAGCTGCGGCATCTGTTAGCTGACAGAGTGGTGGATGAGAAGCAGAAAGATTTCCGGTACTTCACAGGGGTACAGCCACCCAAGGACCTCTCTAACTTGGTGGAACTTCAGACTCTGGAGACTGTGGAAGCAACAAATGACTTGGCAGGCCAACTGGACAACCTCAGAAAACTAAAAAGCGTGTGGGTTTGCAAAGTTACTGCCATCCATTCTGCAGATCTTTTTCCTGCAGTATCTAAGCTGCCACTTCTTGCCTGTTTGCTTCTTAATGCAAGTGATGAGGACCAGACACTGCACTTGGAAACTCTCAACCCACAGTCCAAGCAGTTCCACAAGTTGATCGTCAGGGGCCGCTGGGCTGCCGGAACACTGCAGTGCCCAATATTTCAAGGCCATGGGAAAAACCTCAAGTATCTAGCTCTAAGCTGGTCTGGTCTTCAGGAAGACCCGCTACTGCTTATTGCTCCACATGTACCAAACCTCACCTATCTGAGTCTTAACAGGGTGAGCAGCACAGAGACAATGGTTATTTCTGAAGGGTCCTTTCCACAGCTAAAGACACTAATACTGAAGAACATGCTCAATGTCAAGCAGTTGACAGTTGGGAAGGATGCTCTTCCAAATATTGAAGGTTTATATATTGTGGCGCTGCCGACACTGAATAAGGTTCCTCAAGGATTTGAATCCCTTGTGTCTTTAAGGAAGCTGTGGTTACTGTCTCTGCATAAGGATTTCAAAATCCTGTGGGAGCTAAGTAGAATGCGCCAGAAGATGCCAGAAGTGGTGGAGGTTCGCGTCGAGTGATCGCCTGCTTCTTCATACCGCAATACTTCTGATTATTTATGCATATAGTCCTTTGTGTTTGATTCTTCCAGTAGATGTGCAATTCTGAATGCTTTTGTGCTTGTGTTTTTACTTTCAATAAGTCCGGAAGAAACAGATCTCCTCACCAAGAATGTGCCTGATAGTTGTGTGTATGCCATGTTATTGTGATTTCTTTGTAGTTTGATTTTCCTTTTTTATGTACGAACCTTGTCATTGAACTGGATTTGACAATAACGTTTTTTCTGTCACCATCTTGCTGCCATGTTCAGTTCTGAAGTAACAAGGTCTCATGATTTTTATTTCCCATATGACATCTGACTATCTAAAGCAAGCCAGATTTCTTCATAGTGAACGGGTGACGATTCAAGAACAGACCTATCATTGGGGTTCTCATAATAAGGCTTGTTTCTCCGAGGCCACTGTGCTGTAGTGCCCAAGATTTCATGGCCTTGGGAAACATCTCAAATACGGGCTTAGTACCGCCCGGACGTCCGGACGCCTGTGTGCAGTCCTTTTCTCACATAGTTTCACGTGCCCACATGAGGCCCGCGTCGCCCCAAACCTCACCAGCATCGATAAGAGAGGGAGAAGGCGGCGGATGACCGGCCGGCGCCGAGAGGAGGAGACACCGAGGCAAGGCAGCAGAAGATGAGGAGGGAGATGCAACACCCGATCTACTTTTAAAACATTCACATGCAACACTTGCAACATACGCTTGAAGCCAGATAAAATACTTGAAACATGCATCTGAAACACTTGCAAAAACACATGAAAAACAATTGAAACCATTGCAAAAACATAAGCAACATCTAGATAAAACACTTATAAAACATATTTCAAAAACATATGCAACATCCAGACAAACACACTTGCAATATACGTCGAAAAAACAGATGAAACATTTGGAATAAAAGCTTGCAACATATGGGCAAAACCATTGCAACATATGTAATATCTCGATCTACTTTTGTAATAGAACACATGAGTAGCATCCAGCAGGCCTAGGTTCGACTCCCCGTGGAAGCCAATTAAACAAGTCTAGAATAAAAAAATATAAAAAAATAGGTTGGGGTTACTGACTTCAAGTCGAAACATAATATCTGAAACACTTAAAACAAACTTGCAACATGCGCTTTCAAGATGCTACGGAGTGGTGCAGAGGTCGCGTGTAGACCTCGTCGGCGGTACGGACATCAACAGGGACCGCGGGAGATGCGAGTCCGGGAGCGGCAAGAGGGCGAGGGCAGGTCCGTCCTGCGAGCAGGGCACACAGCGCGCAGAGCAAGTGGCAACCCACTCGGACTGCTTGTGCCACACGTGCCAAACCTCACCTTCCTAATCCTAAACAAAGTCAGCAGTGCAGACTCACGACCTTCACACTTGCACGATATCTCCCTGTTTATCTTTTTATATATATTGACCATGTTCGTTTTTCTTATAATCCTTTTTTTTCAGCTTGTTTTTTCAGCTGGAACAGTATTTTTCCCTCACAACAAATCAGTCGGAACAGTATTTCAGCTTGTTTTTTCAACGAAGCGAATGGGGCCATCATTATTTTGTCCTTTTATATATATTAATATTTTATAATCTTGTATTAAATATTCTGGCTACCTGATGAACTCAAATGAAAATAATTTTAACTACAAAGTTTTAAATCTTATCAAACATTATAACTTTGGTATAAGATGTGCCTCCATACGAGATTGTTTGAAAAATTCAAAAATTAATCTCAAAACTATAAATATAAAATGTATATTTAAGACTCTAAAAGACTTGAATAAAATACTTATCTACAACAAACGTGTAGATTGGGTCCACCCGATTAACAATGTGAACATTCAAGGTGGTTTCATAATTCTAAATTTTGAATTTCAAAATCTAAAAACTTAAAACACATATTTGGGACTCTAAACAACTTCAAATAAAAACATTTTCAACTAGTAAATTGTATATTGTATTGACAATACATCTTTAGTGTAGAGCATGTCAACATCAGAGATTATTTGAAAATTTTAAATTTCAAATATCAAAATCCATGGACTTAAAACAATATTTTGGGAAACTATAAAGTTTCAAATCAAAATCTTCTCAAATTCAAACTTGTAGGTTGTGTCAAGAGTTACAACTTTTTTGATATAAGGTTCGTCTTCATTTGATTTCATATGAAAAAGTTATAGTTTATTCTTGATGCAACTATTTGAGAGATGAATCTCTTAAGACCTGTTAATAGCGATTTTTAGAATGGACATCTTAAAAGATACCCACCTCTTTTAACCAATTTACAAAGGTGGACGACCTAAAGCAACCGTCTTATTGTAAATTACTAATGATTAACAGAGGCAAACGCCTTAGGATGCTCGCCTTTATAAATGATTAACAGAGACAGCAGTCCCTAGATATGCCCGCATCTGTTAATCAGAGAGGTTGGCTTCTAAAATCATTTTGCTAGTAGTGAAGATTTGTTGTAACAAACGAAGCAATAGTTAGTTATGATTGACAAATTCATCCACAAATATCAAATCATTTACTACGGGTGTTTTGGATCTATTAGTCCCTACCCTATTTGGATGGAGTGGCTAATGGCCACACAAAGACCAAAATGCCCCTAATTCACACAATGTTCTCCAGGGAGTCCAACTCCTCCTTCGCCACCGCTAGACCTGGAGCGCGGGCCCGCTCTTGCCCATGGCAACGCATCGACCTCCGCGGTGCCGGGGAACACTAGGAGGGGAGCCCCACACACGCTTGTTGTAGCCCGCATTGCCGAGGGCAGCCACGCTGCGCGCACGCGGGCAGGACGCTGCGCCCTGGCCCGCGAGTGCATTAATGAGGGGTAGGGTGTATTTTTTGCTGGTTTAGTCCCTTTTAATCACCCCAAAAGATTAATGGACTAATTGGTTTAGTCACACTGTTTGGGTCTTTAGGGGCTAAAAGCGACTAAATGGGGTCACCCCATCCAAACAGGCCCTACGTATCCATACATGGCAAATGTATGTTTGTCATATAATGTAGTTCCCCTAGACATATATATTAAATCAGAGCTTATTTGATACCATATGAAGTAGTCTTACTAGTTTTTTATTGTTACCATGAAGTTAGGCATGATGTTAGAGATACATTAATTTCCTTGGCATTAGTGGTGCAAGTATGTGTTCGACGGTAGCATGACGCCTGTACTGAAAGAAACTAGGTAGTAATAGTACTTGCAAGACTGCTTATATAGTTATAATTTTAGATGTGTCATGTCTGGTAAATTTGGCTAACACATGCGCGAGCTATTGCACACAAGCTCATAACATGATATTTATTAAGATTTCCCCAAGGATTTTGTCGAAATGGCCGAGGCGCGAGGGCTTGTTCTTCTTTACTTTTTATTTTTCGGGTGAGTGAAGCTGTTTTGTAACTAGATGATCTTGAGCAACAAAAGCTTGTGAACGCTCCACTTGAGAAATGCAGTTTATTCCTCTTTGACTTAGCTTTTGACTCGATCTGACCTATTTATCACCTGTATTTTGACATTTAAGGCTATGTTCGCTTGAGCTTATCAGCCAGAATGAACCAGTCAAAAAACATTGTTTTTCTCTCACAATAAATCAGCCATACAAATGAGTCGAAGCCAAAATAAGTCCTGCTAAACAGAGCCTAAGCACATTTCCAGTAGCCATGTTAGTTTGAGAGAGTGACCGTGGTTCAAAACTGTGTCCAATACAGTCACGGTCCGAAACTGTCCAGAACGAACACAGAAGTGTGCATAGTTGTTTGTTTCCAATTCGAAAAGGGTCACCAAGTCAGTGTCGCCGAGTTCCATAATTGAATCGTCAGCTTTCGACTAAGACCTTGTTTGGTAGGGCTTCTTCATCGATTTCAGGAGTCATTTGGAGTTATTTTCTGCCAAACAGGGTAAAATGAAATTGTTTCTTTGGAATGCCCTAAAAACATGCTTTCACCGAGCTTTAGAGTGGGATGAAGAAAAAAAATAATGGTTTCACCTAACTTTACTAGTGAACTAGAGCCTCGCCAAACGATGCCTAATTAAGCACCACAAAAGTGGATTCGGTTAAGTTCTCATCAGAGTTATGTCAAGTCAAGATGCGTGGGCCACATCCGTGTGTGAACGGCACTAGCGTAGCGGCCATAGAGATTCTTTTCCTCGATCAGTGGTGGGGCTCCCACTTTCCTCGTTCCCGCGGCTGCATCGAATTAAAGTTTGCAGTAGTAGTGCAGATTGCAGAGAATCTCGGTGCTTTCTCCTCTTTTCCCTGTTCCCACTCAAAAAGTTTGAAGCGACGCAGGGCAGAGCGCGTGCCCTTCTCAACCTGTTATGTTCACACGCCCAAGGTAATTAGTGGATCATATCCGTTGCAACTTGCACGGTCATTTCCAAGTATAAACTTTAGATTTAGTTAATAAAATAGTATCACTTACTCCTTCATTATGTAATATCGTGCATTCTAAAAATTTTAAAATTTCAAGACAACTTAAGGGAACTCTCAAATGATGTATGTACTCATGGATTATTCTAATTAAGGAGTTTCTCCTCAAATTATGGTTTTCTTTTTAACAAACTTTTTGCCAAATCTAGACATAATCATTGCATAGAATGTACTATATTTCAGTACAAATTTTAAAAGTCGTAATACACTATATTTCAGGACGGAGAAAATATGTCCTATTATAAGATAGAAAAATGAGATAAGAGGTCAAGCGAATCTGAGCTATTGATTTTTCTAAATCCAAAGATTTGACAAGATAAAATACAACATTTAGGAATTATCTGTTCGCTCCTTAACGTGCCATCAACAAATGTTTTTTTGAAAAACAAAAAAGAAAATGTTACATATGTATGTGCACCTCATATAATCGCTACAGCAAATAATCATGTTTGGGCCAAGGAAAGTCATATATAATTGAATGAAGTATACATGTTTCACATTTACATATGCCACGTTAAAAATAAAGAAATTTCATCCAACATGCAC